CTATCCTCTATGCGGATTATGATGATTCTATGAATATGCATCAAGCCTGATGCTTAGTTATTACAATTGATATAATATTTTCTGTCAGTATTGATGTGTTTGTAAATTTTGCAGCACATTTTAAGGCCTTATTAAAATCCAGTGCTAAATTATATCTAATTTGGACAATAATTAAATTAAATTTAAAACAGGGGACAAGGAATTAGTATTAATCTTAAAAAAATCAGCAGAAATACAACCACTTTACAGAAATATATAGTATTTTTTTGTTTTTATCCCCTGAACAGTATTAAATCAATCATTATATTATATAATTGAATTAATTTCACAATGGTTTAATATGACAAGATCAATTTTAGGTAATTTTGAATTGTGAAACATTCTTCAATACCCCTACTTTGATAACTTAGAGAATTCTCCTAGGCTTCTTTGACTTAGGCTGCTAATTGGGTAATTTAATTTCTATTTAATTATAGGCAACTCTTTTTTCTTTCTTGGCTACATGATCTCGTTTGTGGTCCCCTCTTATCTTGAAGTAATTACTTAAGCACCTTTTTCCTCTCTTGAACTCTCTATTTATTCCCTCTTTAAGAATCCTTTGCCTATCTGATAATTTGATTTATAGATATTCTAATTCGATTCTTCTTTTTGAATTACATATTATAATAGAAATCTTAATTTTTATTTTGGAAGGAACCTTGGATTCAATCTATTCAATAAGTTTTTAGGCTTCAGTAATTATTTTCCTATAATCTCATTCTACAATAACATATTTATTATTATCAGAATATATGAATCTTTCTAGCTCATGGTTGAATTTCTCAGAATACAGATAAGATTTGAAATACTACTGCACATAGAAGTCTTAGAAGGGAGAGAAAATGCCTGGAGATATATAAAGGATTCAATTAAAGACCATTTTAATTAGAAGAAAGATTAAGTAAAGTAAAGGAGTTTGATTGTTAACAAATATGGTGTATTATTTGGTATCTTCAAATATGTTAGTAAAATAACTGGAAATGTAATTTCACGTATAAAACAATTATTAATGAAATATAGATATGAATTGAAATATTAAAAAAGCAGGGTTTGATTTCATTTGATTATGAAAATTGAAAGGCATCCAGTTCTCAATAAAAGGAATACAGAAAATGTCTTTAAAATTCAAAAATAACATATAAAGAGAGAAAAAAAGTGAAGGAGTAGTAAAAGAATTTTTATAGTTCCATAATATTAGAATTATACAATATATTAAAAAATATTTAACTCATTAATGATGCAATACTTTGAGATTGTGGGTGATGCACTTTTTTATTATAAAATAACGATTATAATGATAAAAAGAGGCATGATGTTATTTAATGTACTAGCCTATTTATACAGATCAAAATGATAGTAAAAAATAATGTCTTCAACATAATTTTGCAATTTAATTTAAGGAGCTAACGAAAAATTCTAAATTTATTTAGATATGTATTGGCTTAAAAAAAATTATAAACAGAAACACTTAAATATTTTATTGTTAAATCTAATCAATTCTCTAGATTTAAATAGGTTTCAGCTTTAATTGATGTTTATTCTTGTTATCTAGTTAATGATGCCAGATTTTACTTAGGATTTTCGTTGCAGAATAATCTAGTTAATTGATAATGTTACTTTTGAGTTTTGATTTAGGCATTTGCTATTTTTGATAAATGTGCTTTTAAAATTGAGAAATTTTATTACACTCTTTTTTCTTTTCTCCTCCATTCTATAAGTGAATGGTCAAGATAGGTTACTTATTTCGATTTTGGTTTAATCGATTTCAAAAGATTATATATCACAGTTACGATTTATAACTGATATTTCTTAGCATATGATTTAGAGATTTCTAAAATAAACTAATAACAAAGTTTAATACAAAGAAGCATAATGGAATACTTACAAAATTTGAGAGGATGCATTCTAAACTTACTATTCACTAACATATTTAGCAATTGCGATAAAGATAGCATAGAGCATATTTACACTGCTTAGATATCTAAGTTTGTTTAATTTTGATAAACTGTAAGGTTGTTACCTTCCTGCTAATATTTGATATGTTGGTGGGGGGGATCCTAGCAAAGCTGCCTTTAGCAAAATATTAGATTCGAAATAAGTCATTATAAGGATTATGCTAATCTTTTTCGAAAATTTGATGTATTCCCAAAAGTAATTTTCTTCATTATTTTCATCAAATAATAACAAATATGTCTTC